CGTTCAATAAGATGTCATATCGCGATCGATCGAATACTGTAACCGAAATTCCTCTGAGCGTTCGTAGCCTGGCGATACACCCTCACAGTTCTGCCTGATCGTCTTCAGAGCGATAGTGAAGGCAAGAGCTCTAAGAATGGCAAGCCATCAAGAAACAGGCAAGCAGGAGAGGTGATGACATCCCGGCAGATCACGCTGCAACAGAGCCAAATCTGGAATACCGTCTTGTTCAGACCTCTTACGGGCTGAGACACTCGACGCTCTTTCTAGCTCATACCCACAATCACGCGACATACTTACGAATGCACTTACTATGTCCGGGCCTCCAACGAACCCTTCAACCAAGACAGCCACGAAACTGTTCCTACCGTCCGCATTTCCATACCCAATCAAAGTCGTGTCTCTAGACTCTGCCGCGGACGCTACCGTCCAACAAGGGACGCGCCTCTTCACGTACTCCTTCGTGCACACCCCCGCTCAAGCGAATGCCAAGCTGGAAACGCGTTTCGGCACTTGGGACTCGCCCGTTGTGGGAAGTGTGTCCGCGTGAAGGTGCGCGCAGGTGAAGTCATCACGAAAGAAAAGGCCCAGGAGCGCCCGGTAGTGCTTGTCATGGAGGACTGCAAACACGAAGTGCAGGCGTTTGGGCTGTGTGCGAGCTGTGGGGCAGACATGACAGGGTGCGTTCATGCAGTAGTGCATCGTTCGAAACAAATGTCGTTTACTGACGCTCGGACTCTATTCAGGACGGAGCAGCAGAACGGAATAGAGATGACTCACTCTGCCAACGGACCGGTTGTATCGCTGAGGAGCTCAACGCCACGAGCGCGAGATCATGGACGACTGTTGAAAGCGCGGAAACTGGTACTCGTTGTCGATCTCGATCAAACTATCGTACATGCTACAGTCGACCCGACTGTAGGCGAATGGCGTGCGGAAGGTGCTGCATGGAAGGCGAGACAGGCGGAGAAACCCGACCCTTCCGACGAATGCAACCCCAATTGGGAAGCCCTTGAGGACGTTGGCGAGTTCAGGCTCAAGCCAGAATCTATGGGCAAGAACAGGATGTATGAACACGAAAGTCCTGTGTACTACCTCAAGCGCAGGTATGTTTCGAGCCGTTGATACAAGCTGGGATTCGGCCTCACATCACCCTCAGACCTGGCTGGCAGCATTTCCTCGAGACCATGGCCACCAAATATCAAATGCACGTCTATACTATGGGAACCAGAGCTTATGCCGAGCAAGTCTGTGCGCTGATCGATCCGGACAACAAGATCTTTGGCTCGCGACTATTGAGCCGGGACGAAAGTGGAAGTGTCACACAAAAGACACTTGCGAGATTGTTCCCTTGCGACCAATCTATGGTCGTAATCATCGATGACCGTGCTGACGTCTGGCAGTGGAGTCCGAATCTCGTCAAAGTCGTTCCATGTACGTTTACTTGTCATCTCCACCAAGTCACTTCTCATCTGCGCGTAGACGACTTTTTTGTCGGGATTGGGGACATCAACTCGAGCTTCCTGCCGAAAATCGAGCCTCTTACGCCTCCGACTTCAAGTGCTCCATTGCCGGATCCGGATCCTCCAGAACCGAGCACACCCGAAGAAGTGGCAAGAAAGGAGCAAGCTGACAAAGACCTGCTGGCCAAGAATACCATGGCGTTAGAAGCACAGGTGGAAGAGCGCCCTTTGGCGAAGAAACAAGAGCAATTGAAGGTGTCTCACGAGTCGCACGAACAAAATGGGTCCAAGGAAGAGCCTGCTAGTCTACCTGCTCCACAGCTGAAGGAGGCTTTGCTCAAGAATGACGATCACGAGCTTGAACGGCTGAGTGAGGTCCGTGCCCTCTTCATCCGTTGAACTATTGCTCACGCCTCAGTTGTTGGATCAAGTGCATGGGCGCTTCTTTGCCTCATACGAAGCATCACCCAAGTCACCGAGCAAGATCGGGGGCAGACAAGAATATGACACTACTGTGGGTGCTTGTCAGTGCCTCTGAAGGACCGTTCCATTGAATCTCAATATAGCGAATCATCCCACGGATGAGAAGAGAGGTGTTTGATGGACTCGTCATTCTGTTCTCCAGCGTGATTCCCCTGGATACAAATCCTGAGACAGCCGAAATCTGGAAACTTGCAGTCATGTTTGGCGCCGAATGCACCACGACGCTTGAGCCTGGTGTCACGCATGTTGTCGCAGCCAAGGTCTCTTGTTCGAATCCGTACCGTCTCACACAATTCTCACACGAAGTATAGCGCGGGACTGTCAAAGTCGACTCAGCTAGGAAGCGGGGAAACATCAAGATTGTGTGGCTCCAGTGGTTCTTGGACTGCATCAACCTGTGGCACAGGCAGGACGAGACCCCGTACTTACTCGACGATCCACCCCCCGTCGCCACTGATCCCCTCCGAGTCTCTTCTTCCTCCGGAGATGTGGGGGAAGAGGAATGGGACAGCGCACTGCAAAACGGCTCGCAGGTCGCTTCCGAGCTATCGCTCGACGCCATCGACTGGAATGATATCGACGACGAGATCGATGCTGCCATGGACGAGAGCGACGACGACCGCGGCTATGGGGATCAGATGTCGGAAGATGACTGGACCGAGGACGGCAGCAGGTGCGTGATTTCGCCATGTGCGTACGCCCCGCCTGATTTCATCGTTTCAGCGTGGCCACGAACAGCAATCCCCCGACACCCAGTCGTCGGAAACGCATGAGAAGTCTCACGCCCTCTGACATCCGGAACGGCCACGCAGGGGAGACTGGATCGCCTCTAGCCAAACGAAAAAAAATCGCGGCTGAGCGCACGGGGGCGTCGAAACTCAAGGAAGCTGTGAGCGCCGAAGAGATCGGTCCCGTCGCACCGCAGGCTGCCGTCGTCCCACCCGCCACCAGTCCCGTATCTCGCATTGACGAGGGAGATAGCGAGGAGGAGTACGAGGAGGAAGAAGAAGACGACTTTCTGGCGCGCGAGCTCGAAGATGAGCTAGGATAGGATGAAGCTTGCCCTTGTTTGTGTATTTTGTATATAGGCATCTTTGTTTCTGGGACACCGAATTTGTGTATCTGTAGCTTTTAATCGGCGAATTGAGTAATACACACAAGCTGTATCGTAGTAGCATTGATGCATTGCGCCGCTCTATCTGCGTCTAGAGTCTAGACCTCGAAAGCGTTGGAATGCAGATGGAGCGGCTGATCATCAAGTACAGGAAAACATGATCGGAGATCAAAACGTGATTGGAGTGGGATTCGAACCCACGCCCTTTCGGACTAGATTGCCAACGGCAAGTTGTGCTCGCAGGTGCGAGTTAATCCTTAGTCTAGCGCCTTAGACCGCTCGGCCATCCAACCATGCGTAGACGTGTGCTGTTTAGGATTATAGCCTCTTGAGCTGTTTCACAAGTGCCTGCGCCCTTCCAACCACCACAGTCTGTCGCTCATCGTTCGCGATTTGTGCTTGTCAATATTTGCTTGATGTTTGATCCGCCTGACAAGTCTCCTTCCTTCCGTCTCGACCCAAATCAAGCCTTGAGCTGAAATAATCTGGGGGCCGTCAGACACGCAACTCATATCCACCCATGTGCCGTCTGCAAGATAATCTCTCCATGTCGACCACGTTTGTTGATCGCGGTGCTATCCCCATTTGACTAGGTCAGTCTGACTGACCGTGAAAACTCCGGGGACATCAACGGATCACCTGCTGGATGGGGTGGAGTGAGAATGGCGTGTCGTGTGGGTCCCAATTAAGGAGTTAGCTCCGGACGGACAGTGCGTCAAGGCTATGGGATAAAGACACTGAGCGTGGCCGGCGAGAGAGATACCCTCCCACCTTGCGACGACTCGCCCGTCCAGCACTCTGTCCTCCCTGTACTTAACTCTGAGCTACCGGGCAATGACGGTGAGATCGCTGTGCGCCGCGCCTGGCATCAATCTGATTGCCACCGCGCGCAAGTCTCTGGAGCCGCTCGAGGACGATGATGCCCCGGATGCGCTGCAGCTGCGCACATTCGAGGACTTCGCGCCGCGGGGACTGCTCCTTGCGCGCGACCCCCGAGCCAAGCATCGCGTGCACTGCCCTCGGTGCGCGTGCGAGGGTGCGCATGTCGTTGTCAAGTCGGGTGACTGACTGACGCTCCGGTTGCGGTACAGGGGGCTGCTGTGTGTTCTACCGCCGTCTGGATCAGATACCGCTCGAGCGGGTGACTCTCAGAGCCTCCCCGCCACCATCGCTCCCGGACGCAAGACAGCAGCGTTCACGTCCAGCACCGCCGTCTGGGTGAACAATGTGCGTGGCCAATGCCGTTACTGACGCCCTGTCCTATCTCAATTTCTGACTTTCCGGCAGGCCCTTACCTGGCGCTCCTATTGCCGAGGTCTTCGAATTGCGCATATAGCTACTTTCCTACCTGCCAACTCTTATTCCAACATTTAATAGTCCCCATTGTATAATATAATACCGCGGCTCTCGTCTCCTCCACGTTCATTCCTCTGCAGACCTCCGGCTCTCCCGCATCACCTGTCTGGATGATGGGTGGATGCACGCGCGCGTGGTTGGAGTTATCTTAATCAATCCCTCAATCGATCTCTCTATACATATACTCATCCGAGTCCGTCGGGATGAGGCCTGCCAACTGATAAGATCGATAAGATCGGGCCGAAGAAAGTCCATGGTGCAATTAGAAATTAGCATACAGGATATGACATGGAAGTCTCCTTCGAACTCAAAGATCGTCTCCCCCCTCCCCAAACATGATCTTGAGATTCTCGATGCTCTCCGGATCCGAACGCGATGAACCAGAACCGCTACCCCTGAAAGCTTCCTTGACGATCGCGGTCTTGCGCTTTTGTATCTGCAGAATCCGGCCTTCGATCGTGTTCGAGATCTACCGTGATGTCAGCAACACAGTGTGCAGAGAATGACGGGTAAGCTCGTACAATGAAATGCTTGACATAGACCGTTTTCTCCTGCCCGATGCGATGGACGCGGTCGATCGCCTGGTTTTCCGTCGCCGCATTCCACCAACAATCCATCATAAACACGTGGTTGGCGCAAGTGAGCTGTGCATCGCGTGAGGAGTAGCAGCATGTCACAATTGGGAGCTCGCACGTTCAGTCCGACACCGCCGGCTTTCAAACTGACGACTAGCACCTTCGGTTTCCTCATCGGCGCTCTGAACTGCTCGAGAGCCGCACCCGGGCCTTGACATCCATGGATCCATCGAAGCGATAGTGCTCAAACTGTTCGCGTTTCAGGACGGTCTGTATCAAATCCAGGTAGGACGTGAATTGGGAAAACACGACAGCGCGGAAGCACGGGTCTTGGTCCCTCAGCTTTCCTGCATAGCATGCTCAGATGACGCGTAGAAACAGTTCGTTATTCACGAACGGAGATTCAGTGCCAGTGCGTCCAGCTTCGTTGATGACCGGAAGTCATTCTTCCTCAGAACGACACTAGGCTGTGGATCTTGAGAGCTGCTGGGCGGGCGAAAGACCTCGATCAGTTCAGATTCCTAGAGTGCACTAGTCGTCAACGCGCTTCCACCTTCGCGATCGAGCTGGCAGAGCATACCTGGATCGGCCCTCGCGAACAAGTCGGACAGCAAAGCTCCTTCCCTTGTTCTGCAGCTGTCGCGCACAACGTCACTATGCAATCCTTGCAGCTGCCCAATTCAGCCGCCTAGTCGCAATCCTGCAAGAGACGCCCACCATCGGTGCATGCATTCCGGCAAGATCATCGGGGATTCCATCACATCCAGACACACCGGACACTCGGCGTCCTGTTCATCCACGTCCAGATTCTCCAAAGCGTTCTTCGCAAACACGTTGCTCTCGCTCGCATCATTGGCAAAGCGCTTGATCAGCTCGTTCACGTCAATGTCATTCTCTTCGTCCTCGCCGCTGCCGCCAGACTTGCTGTTGCTTGAAAGCACCAAGTTGGGATGAAGCACAGCTCGGCGGAGCCTCATCAGCATCGCCAAGATGTGGGTGTAGTTCTTGCCAACCAAGCCTTTGGCGTGCAGGTCTTCGAAGTCGCGTTTTGCAGAAATGAAAAGGCTGTTATATATCCTCCGCTCCAGCGATGAGAACTCGAGATAATCGATCTCAACCTGTTAAGGCGTCAGCATGAAAGATTTCTGGATAGGAGCACTTGCCTCCTTGGGAGGGAGCTCCACGATACGCTTCCCATTGGTATCAAGCATCGTCTTCTCCCGCCGGAGGAGGATGGACTCGAGAATGATCTGCACAATCTCGATTGCTTTCGGGTCTCGCGCCAGGAACGGCATCGTAATAAACCTAGCGAGACAGGTGAGCCGGGGGGACTGTTCGGCCAAAGCACCGGGACTTGCGATCGAAAGAAGGAAAAGTCGGCCCAGGGTCGAAAGTCGAGAAATTTGCTAATCGTTAATGAGCCGGAGAAATCGCCTTTCAATCCATCACGCACAGCAACGAAAAGAGATCCTCCAGCTTGTTCACGATCGGGGTCCCGGTCACAGCCCATCGCCTTCTCGCATGAAGAGCATACACAGCTTTGGCCGTCTTGCTCGTCCTTGATTTGCACGAATGCGCTTCGTCTAGAACGATACGGAGCCATTCAACTGGAAGGAATCAGAGCCCGGCCAACCAGGGTGACCTGTTCTCACCGTCGAACACCGGCGACCTCGCTTTTGCGTGCTCAGACGCTAGTACGCCGTACGACGTGACAACAACTTTGATGGCCCTGTTACCCTCCTCCTCGCCGTCTTCATCGTCCAGCGCATCTTGTAGATCGAGCCGGTTCTGCCCATGCCACAAGATGACATTGACAGTTCCAGGCTTGCTGCAGCGCAGAACTTCGGCCTCCCATTGAGCCAGCAGAGATGTGGGCGCGACAATCAATGTGGCTGAGGGTGGTTTCTTGGATGTGCGGCGCGGCGCTTTCTTGAAAGCAGCATTCAGTTTCAGTTGTCGATGCTTGTTGCCGGAGCTTGCTTCGTCTGCCGGGCGCTCGGTATCCGGTTCGCAGTTAGTGTGAATGAGGGCGGCCAGTTCGATGGTCTTGCCCATGCCCATCTCTGTGACAGTTGACGATCTTGCGCATATCATCACGTTTGAGCTCACCGTCAGCAAGAATACCCCCTCGGCCTTTACGTTCCGCTCTGGGGAAGTCCAGGCTCAGCTCACCGGAATACGCGTTGAAGTAAAAGACTTTGTCCTCCGCAGTCAAGTCGATGAAACCTCCGGTCTGAGGTGACGGGAATATGTATCTGAATGAAGAGAATCAGGTTTTACAATCAAGCCAATGACAATTCACGAACTGGCTCCACAGAGGATGCATCGAACTCGCCTCCCGCGCGTCCATTTTCCCGAGCTCAATGGAATGCATCCATCTACAAATGATGAGCGACAGAGTAACAAACGGCGCGGAGACGAACAATAGAGCTTGTTTCTGATAACCTCGCAAGGTGAGCGTGAAGGTATCTGGGGGCTCCATTTCCCCCATAGTCTTGTCTCCCCTTTGCGCTTTCTGGTAGATCAGGTCGATGTCATTCTCCGTTAACTCTTCGCCCTCGTCCACTTCGATCTCCTCGCCGTCGCCGACGATTTCAGTGACCTTTTTGGGTTTGTGTTTCGCAATGTTCTTCATTGCCTCGTCATGGATTTCCTCGTCCGATTTGCTTCCGGAGAGATTCGCTCCTGCTTGAGGTCGCAGATTGAGGACCTCGAACAGTTTGAGTACAGATGCCTTCCTTTCACGCAAAGCCTGTTCGTCCAAAGTCTCCGTTCCTTCGGACATCAGGAAAGTCTTGTCCGTAGCGGTTTCTTGGGCGGTTTCTTGACCGAAAGGCTTGAATGCAGTGGGCAACATGTAGACGTCCGCCGAGACGATAAGATTGGCCCCAACGGTAAGTTTGTTCGGACAATCCGTCATCTTGCCCCGGAATTCGACGATACCTGATGTCACGGCGCATTAGCGCTCTGTACAAACGGCGGAGGCGGATTCGAACCGAAATCAAGCAGTTTCGCGATCCAAGAAGAGACGTCCTGAGGTAGTCTGCCAAATTCTAAATTGTTCAGATCATTATAGAATGTTTATAGAGTCTGCTTACCGAACCCCCGAGAGTTGTACAGCCGCACAATGGTATCAGGCTTTTTCTTCGAGGATGACTTGGCCGGCTGCTTCAACATTGCAGTGAGAGACATCTGCTTCTTGCCGTCCCCAGACTTTTTAGTCTTTGCTGTGCCCAGCGCTTTCTTGTCCTCCGTTTTCTTTTGGCCGTGTGGGGACCCT